ATTCTGTGATTCTGTGATTCTGTGATCTGCCTATTTCTAAAAGGGGCCACTTAACTGTTCACAAGGGATTGTAATTTCTGAAGCCTATTCCCAAATGTTGATCTAAAAGAGTTACTATCTGATCACCTTCAGTTTAATCTGCAAGGCATACTTACAGATTCAGAGAGGCCCTTATAAATTTATATATTTTTTAAAAAGGCGGAAATGAGCGAAATGCCCATTTGGGTACACATCGTAGGTAAAGAGAGAAGTACATGGGATTAATTTAATTTACCTGCTACTTCTAATAAATAAGGGGCTGCTTTTAAGGAATTTTTCATGTGCTTTTTGAACTGTATAGATAAGGGAGTTATAGATAGCTTTTTTACCCCTATTAAATCTACACACATATAAACATGCAGCTCCTGAAAATTCAGGATCACATTTGGAAGCCTAACATTCAAAAAAAAATGCTGTTAATTTCAGGACTCTATAAGCTAATAAAGAATAGCCAGAAAAGTACTTCTCTTCACACTATTAAAATTTAGGTATCTCATAAGTGCTGTGATGGACCTGGAAGTTCTCAAACCCTTATATGTTCTATAGAGAATACAAACTATTAAATTCTCTAAGTTAGATGGAATATCCTGAAACTGCAAAATATAGTTTCCATGATCTAAAGCATTTCTCCTTACTGAAACAAAATACTTTTAGAATTTTTATTTATATCCATATTCATGACAAAGAAAGAAGAAAACTGCTCAGCAAATATAAAGAGACACTGAACTACACTTATTCAACATTAAAACAAATTTATACATTTGGACTTTTTTTTAAATTCTTTGATTATGAATAAAATTTTCTTTATCTCTATATAACATATACACATTTTTACGTTATTGATTGTAGTAAAACAATAGAAATAAACACAACAGAAAATCAAACTTTTAATGTTTTTGTTCTTCAGGTTGATCAAATAGGAACCAAATTTTTTACTTACATCCTGACCGAATATGAAAATAAACCAAGCAGGTAAATCAGCAAACAAAGGAGGACTAAAAAACATGCAAACCAAAAAAGCCCCAGATGCAGTGAGCCAAATGTTATATTGTCCTGAAATTCTGACATGCCCAAGCTTGCACACCTGGCCCGAATTCATACTGCCTACTATCTAAGGATGATAAAATATGGAGGGAAAACAAAAAAAAACAAGACACCACCAAACTGAATAGGAACTTGTTAAGTGAACATCATTCGTCTTGAATTAGAAACCTCAGAGAAGAACAGAAATATGAGATCGTATATTTAAATTTAATACTGAAGAAATGAAATGACTCTTGCAAAAATACCTACAATAAGGATCTGCTACTACAAGAAATTTATGTCCATTCTGGAAAATGCAGACTCAAAAGTCTTGGAAAACAGGAAATTTGTTGTCTTATAGTCTACACTTTCCCTCTGCAGTCCCTTTCCAGTCCCATTACAACTGGAGCTCAATGCTTTTTCTCCCTCCCCCAGCTAATCCTAACCTTAAGCCGAGCCTTACACAAAGCCTTCCAGCCACTGACCAAAGCATTGAGCTTTCCAGCCCCACTTCAGTCTTGCCAAAATAAGGTCTCCTCTTTGACCCTTAAAGGCAATTAGTATTATTTTCAATACATTAACAAAATACACAAATCTGGAAAAAAAAAAGGGGGGGATGGGAGACAAATCGTTCTGCACTAAGCCAGAATCCACATCATCTATACGAAACTAACATCAACCTGATACCATTTTAAAAACTAACAACAAATGAAATATAAGAACCACCAAAATATCCTACATTTCCAGCCAATAAAAATTATTGCTGGGAGAAGAGCCTTCTTGAGCCTGAAGTTGACTGTCTGAGGTTCCTAAGAAACTCTGACCATCATCATTGGTAATGGAATGCAATACACAGTACAGGCATTCAGAAATCTTCAAGGTTGAAGCAAAGGAAGGAAACAGAGAATCCATACATTCCTTGATTTAGTTTTTATTCAAAACTTGTAAATTCTATGTAATAAATCCTGCTGAGATACATAAACATTTACAAGAGTTAAAAAAAAAATATTTCGAATGAAATGACTGTCCTTGCCTCACCTATTACCTCACCTGGCAAATTACACCATGGCTATGTATCCTACTGCCAGAAAACTGAGCAGTAATTTAAAGCTGAATTTGTCTTCTCACAGTAACTGATTCTCGCTATGGCTATGACATCAAGATTTAAAGAAAATAGTAAGAAAAAACCTGCTATCAGATCTCTTGCTCAGGACAGAGAACACCTGGATACCTATGTACACTACAACAAAAAAAAACAAACAAAAGAAACAGAAAGTAACCAGTTCTTTGTCAAATTAAAGAAACTGAATTCAACTGACTTTATCCTTGATAGTAATTTTCTGTCTTTTTCATCTTTTATGATATTCCCTTGAGCTCAGTTTAGCACTCAGAATGTGTATTCTAGAATAGAATACACATACTTGAGCTCAGTTTAGCACTCATAGAATGTGTATTCTTCAGGAAACAAAGTAGTTTAGTAGTGATTTTCACAATATTGGGTAAACAAGAAAAACTATTTACTCAACAAGTTATACTACAAATTAATATCTGGATTACTAAAAAGGGTTAGCAACTTCTTCAGAGACTACAAATAAAAAGGTAAATAAGTAATTGTAACTGTAAAAAGTTCTATTCTAGAACAAAGAGGCATGAAATCACACAATAGGAAGCTGAAGATGGGTGCCTCTGGACCTTGACAAGCTGGAGAGGTGGGCCCATGTGAACCTCATGAAGCTCAGCAAGGCCAAATGTGACATCCTGCATCTGGGTCAGGGCAATCACCAGCACCAGTGCAGGCTGAGTGATGAACGGATCAAGAGCAGCCCTTTAGAGAAGGACTTGGGGATATTCATATATGAAAAATTAGATACAGGCTGCTTACATGCCAAGCGAGCTAATCGTATCCTGCAAAGCTATGGATGCCCCGTCCCTGGAAGTGTTCCAGGTTCAAGCTGGATGTGGCTTTGGGCAGCCCGATCTAATCAAAGATGCCCCTCCACTTCAGGAGGATTGGAACTAGACGATCTTTAAAGGTCTGTTCCGACCAAAACCACTCTATAAGACAGTATGAATAAGAAATAAGGGATAGTTTTTCACAAGATAATCCCATTGGTACTGGGATAATTCAACTCCAAATGATTCTCCAACCTTCAAGTATTTCTTTATGGTTAGCTTTTCTGTGAGATATATGAAACAGACAAGAATCTTTACTGTCAGACATGGACTATTTAACATAAAAGGTGACAGTGGAGTAACACAACCATTTCTTTCAAACTTGAGATTCATCTTGTACCATTTTTGTAGTATTTGCAAAGAAAGAAAATTACAAACAGCGTTCAGTTCAACTGAATCACGTGAAAATCAATTAATATTTACACTTAGACCAATGATTTATAATGATCATTCAAATGCAGTATAGTACTTTGTGTCTTTCTGCAGTAAACCTTATATCCAGCTGACGAAAACTGAACATAAGGTGAAAGCTTTCTTTCCTCAAACTCTCCAGATGCAATTCTATGAAATCATAAAGTGGACATGAGAGACAGATTTCCTGCCAATTTAAAGATTAATTATTAAAAGCAATTGCCAAAAAACTTGGTTTTTTACTATAACTTGTCTTTAAATTTCAGCAAATAACTCCAAAGTGAGATAATATTTTTGCATCTGAATATACGACTTACGCTTTATTTTAAAAAACAGTATAAATTTAACCCCCAAAGTCTGTAAGATTTGGGTGAATACAAATCAACAAACTAACCTGCAATTCCCATGTATTTCTCAACACTGAATCTTTCCATGACGCATTTTAAAAGATAACATTATAAACAACATTCCAAAATTTTACCCTTCTTTGAAACAGTACCCCTTCTCCTTTTTATTGTAATGGCCTGTTCAATACAGAAGAATAAGTATTTTCTTTTTACTTGTTGCAGAGTTTTGTGAAAAAAGTTTGCTTACTTGCAGCTGAACTGAGTTATCCTGAAGACCTTCTACAATAGGAGAGAATCTATCAACATTCCTTTCCTCTGCTGCTGCTGTTACAGCTTCCAAAATTTTTTCAAGGCTATAAGAAAAGAAAAGCACTTCACTCAGGAGAGATACTTAACCTTGCTGTTCATTTCTTACATGGAGAGCCATGTTCTCAAAGTATTCACCTTCCTCAATTTCTTGCGTACAAAATTAGCAGGTTTCAGCATTACTTGCTTCCTTTGGAGACAAGGAATGACTTACTGGATTACAATGGTTAAGAAACCTTAAAAGTAATGCTAAAAAATTTTAAACAAAAGAATGGCCGCATAACTACTTCCATTTAACCAGTACATCCACATGTCAATAAGAAAACTCTTACTGATATAAGCATAATAAAAGTCACAAAGTTATTCTAAAAACTGACAATATAGTACAGATACTACTTTTAAACCCAAGTTGAAAAATTCAGCATTTCATTCCCATATAATTTTAGATACCGTAAAATTACCGTACTATTTCTAGCTAAATACAGTACTTACATGCTTTCCTCTCCAACAATGCACATTGCAGAAAGGAGTTTAACTATGTCCGTCATCATGTTAGTTTGCTTGAGATCAATTGCTTTGATCAGCAACAAAAGGCTTCTTTCTTCTCCCAAAATTCTTTCCAATCCATACTAAATAACAGAAAAACAGTTGTCAGGAGAGTTGGAGGGAATCCAACTGACTGCATCAAATCTCTAGTACAAGACAGTGACAGTTCCCTCAAGTGACATTTAAGTCCATCGAACACTTAATTTAAAAAAAAAAAAAATGAAGTGAGAGAAAAGTCCAAAACAGGCCACTTACTCTGTAATAAGGGCATACATCAGCATCAAAAGTTCACACTATTCTCCAAGTATATTTCTAGAGAGATGAACAGGCAGCAGAAAGAACTTCAAACCACAGCTGACCAACACACTGCTTCTCCAAATTGCACAGGCTTATACCCACTGATCGTGTACATTATCTGATTGAACTGTAGTAATTTACATTTCCAAATTAAATTTGCTAGCGACAGGACAAGGGGCAACGGGCACAAACTGAAGCACAGGAAGTTCCGTCTGAACATGAGGAAGAACTTCTTCCCTCTGAGCGTGACGGAGCACTGGAACAGGCTGCCCAGGGAGGTTGTGGAGTCTCCTTCTCTGGAGATATACAAAAC